CTTAAAAAAAAAAATCATTTATCCACTAGAAATTATGTTTACCATTTACAATACAAAATTCTGGACCCTGAGAGAGAGAAAATGTTGCTTGTATGTATGTAACAATAAAAGCCAGCTGCTACACAACCATGTCTCAAAATTTGTAAACTGCTTTGAGGTTTGTTTCTTAACAGTCATGTAGAGAATAGATTTTTTAAAATAAATAAGCTGCACTTTTACTAAATGAAGAATTGTAGAATAAAATATACAAAAAATAACTGCTATGGTTTTGGGCTTCTCCTCAAATTAAAATGTTTATTTCCACAAACTACATGGACATTCAAATTCGATACCTTTCTACTCAGATCACTGAATTCACTTACTTCCTTGAAAGTGTGTGCTGAATTGCACCCTTTATAAAGTGAAGAGCTTCATTCACAGCATTTGTGATCACAGCATATTTGACCCTGCAAATAATATCACTCTAATATTCAGTCAAAGTTACTTTTAGTACTGTACTGAAATAGTAATTCTTACTTTTTAGGCTGTTTCTCAGGTGTGGCTTCGGCCAAGTTACTCAAAAAGCCTTTTTTTCCAGTTTGCACTACACTCACAAGCATATTCCCTCCTTGCTTAAACTATTTCACCAACATATCCTTAATTTCAGACACACATAACTGTGAAGTTGTTTTGAGTTCCTAGCCTGAACAGCATTCTGTTATTTCTGGTGGCTAAACTATGTAGTAAATCCTGGCAGGCCTTGAGCCCAAAATATAGCTTCCACTGGAAAGAAAATTCCTTTCCATAAGCTATCCCAACCCAGGAAGTTACAATCAAGGTTGTTGTTTTTTAACATTGTATTTCACAAAGCTTAGTTCTCTGGGGCAACATCCTATGTTCATCATACTCAGAGCAGACCCTTTAAAATAACTGACTTAATTTACTTAAAACTCCCTTGATTTCAATGGGCCTATTCCAAGTACAACTAGTAGAACTAATACTGGCCATCAACTTTTGTGCAAGCGAGTCTAGTTGCAAAGGGGAGGCGTGTTGCCAAAAAAAAAAAAAGTACCTTGCTTTAGTTTAAGGTGTATCAAAATGCTAAAAATTAATAGTATTTGAACCACCACAGAAAAACCAAGCCTCTGTGACACAGACCTTTTTTCCATTTGAAAATCTCACTTGCTTCCATCGACATTTTCACTTAGGAAAGGGTGCAAGGTCACAACTTTCCCTTACTCCCCACGCCATTGATCTAAGCACGGCCTGCGCTGGCTTGCCACGCCATTACTTTTCCAGGCACCCACCTTTTGCCTGCTTACAAAAGAACCGATTTCCCTGCCACCCCAATCTCCGATTTCACTATTGCCCGTCCCAACCATCTCCGAAACAGCAATCCATTCAACCTCTCGTGCGTTTCTTTTCTTTCTTTCTTTTAATCTAGTATTTATTTCCAACTTCGATCATGGAGGGGCGGAGAGGGGGGGGAGGGTGTGGATAGGAGGGGAAGCCTCCCGTTCAAATCCTGGAGTCCTTGTCCTCCCTGATCAGCTCCACAAAGACCCGGGTTGGATCCAGACCCCCCACCGCCCACCCCGCACTTTGGAGCGCCGTCCATTTAAACAGGGAAAACGGGCGGAGAACAACGTCGCTCGGCAGCGCCCCCTGGCGCCGCGAGGTTATTATATCGCGCATATACCGCGCATATAAACCGCTTTTTCTTGGCCCGTCTAGTTGAGCCCTTGGGTCCCCGCGAACCTGAAGAGTTGCGTGTGGGCTTTTTTTGTGTTTTGGTGTTTTTTTTTTAAACTACCCCCGCCCTTTAAATAAAACCTTCCACGTTCGCCGGCCTGAAATGCCCCCCTTTTAGCTGTTCGGAAAAGAAAAAGATCCGCCAAAACACGCGCCCGCCCGCCAACACGCACCCCACCCATCGGTGCGTGGCTCTGGTTTCCTCAGCTCGAAGGTCCCGCTTCCTCCGGAGCGGCCGGGGCTCGAACCCGCGGCCCGCCTCGCCCCTCACCGCCCCCCTGAGGCAACCGGGACCCCCGAATGGGAAACCAGCCCCCGAGCTGCTGGGCTCCGGCAGGCCCCTCCGCGCCCCCAGGGCCCTCTCTCTCCCGCCGGCCCCGCTCGGCCTCCGGCCTCCTCGCTCCGGCTCCCCCCCCCCCCAGACCCCGGCGGACCCCGCCCCGAGCCCCGGGGCCCCGCCGAGCCCCTCGGCCGGCCCACGCCCCCCTCCTCGCCCTTCGCCCTCCCCGAGAGGGAACGGGGAAGTCCCGGCTTACCTGTCATTGCTTTTCTACGCCATCTTGGATCCACTTGTCAACGTCCTCGCAGGGCATTGTGGGGAAGGAGGGAGGGAGGGAGGGGGGAAGAGGAGAGGGAGGGAAGGAAGGAAGGAAAGGAAAGAGGGGGGGGGGAAGCTCTCTTCTTCCCTCAGCCCCGTCCTTCCCACCCCCCTCTCTCTCTCACACACACGCCTCACGGCGGAGAAAAGTTAAGCAAGAAGGGGGAAGGTCGTGCTTCTGCAGAATTGCTTGCTCAGCCATAAGGGGAGGGGGGTGAGGAAGGAGGGAGAGGCATTTGATGGAGGGTGGAAGGCAAGGTGGTTGGTATTATTATCATTATCATTGTTATATTATTATTATTATTATCATCATCATCATCATCAGTGCTTCTTCCCCTAAAAAGATGTTTAGGGGAACTCTCATTTTGACTCAAGGAAATCACCATTTTATAGTTCAAATCGGGGGAAATAAATACAGTGGTACCTTGGGTTGCAGACGCTTCAGGTTACAGACTCCGCTAACCCAGAAATAGTACCTCGGGTTAAGAACTTTGCTTCAGGATGAGAACAGAAATCATGCACAGCTGCGCGGCGGCAGCAGGAGGCCCCATTAGCCAAAGTGGTGCTTCAGGTTAAGAACAGTTTCAGGTTAAGTTTGGACCTCCGGAACGAATAAAGTACTTAACCCGAGGTATCACTGTACAGGAAATGGACAAAAGTACAAAGATTCACAAAATGATTAGGGGTAGGCATACCACTGCGTCCCCCCAGAAAAAAACACTGAACATCCTTTTTTAATTATTATTATTACTATCATTATCATTATTCTCTTGGTTATATTATTATTATCATCATTTAATTTTTTTATTATTATCATTATCATTGTTATATTATTATTATTATTATTATTATTATTATCATTTAAAAATTTTTATTATTACTATAATGATCATTATTTTATTTATTATTCTTATCATTATTACTGTTGTTGCTGTTGTTGTTGTTACTTGTGCCATTTTTCTAGAAAAAGAGGTGCAGGAACTCACCACAAACACCTCTCTCGTTCTCTTAGAATGGCCCACCGGGAAGGATTGCCGGAACGGAGTTCCAGAGAGTTCTGGCTGAAATAAAAAGCCCTGATTATCATGATCATAATTTCTATACTGCTTTATACTTTAAAGGAAAAAAATCTCAAAGCGGTTTACATGGTATGGTGCAAAGAAAAGTGAAGCAAGCAGGAGGAGGGTTGTGCTCGTGTAGGGGTAAAAGTAAAGGTAAAAAAGATAAAAGACCCCTGGACAGTTAAGTCCAGCCAAAGGTGACTATGGGGTTGCAGCGCTCATCTGGCTTTCAGGCCAAGGGAGCCGGCGTTTGTCCACAGACAGCTTTCTGGGTCAGGTGACCAGCATGATTAAACCGCTTCTGGCGCAACGGGACACTGTGACAGAAATCAGAGCTCATGGAAACACTGTTTACCTTCCCACTATTTATCTACTTGTGCTGGTGTGCTTCCAAACTGCTACGTTGGCAGGAGCTGGGACAGAGCAATTAGAGCTCACCCCAACTGCTGACCTTCCAATTGGCAAGCCCAAGAGGCTCAGTGGTTTAGACCCCAAGACCACACATACAAACACCACACACTGGGGGTCCGTGTTGCTTACTCAGCCATGTGGGGGGGACGAAGTGGTGAGGTGGGAGTGGAAGGCAAGGTGGTTGTTTTTTTAAAAAAATATTATTATTATCATCATCATCATTTCTATACTGCTTTATATTTTAAAGAAAAAATCTCTAAGCAGTTCACATGGCATGGTTCAAATAAGTGAAATTAAAAAGGTAAAGGTACCCCTGACCGTTAGGTCCAATCGCGGGCGACTCTGGGGTTGCGGCGCTCATCTCGCTCTATAGGCCGAGGAAGCCAGTGTTTGTCCACAGACAGCTTCCAGGTCATGTGGCCAGCATGACAAAGCCGCTTCTGGCGAACCAGAGCAGCACACGGAAACGCCGTTTACCTTCCCGCCGGAGCGGTACCTATTTATCTACTTGCACATGACGTGCTTTCAAATTGCTAGGTTGCCAGGAGCAGGGACAGAGCAATGGGAGCTCACCTAGGCTCTGTGGTTTAGACCAGAGCACCACCTAAGCGGTTCACATGGTATGGTGCAAATAAGTGGGGTTACTGACCCCAAAGCTGGCTGGTTTTGTTTGTTTGTTTTGCAGGAGATTCTTTTTATTTTTAAAAAAATTGGGTTTTTTTGTGAGAAAGAGAGGGCAGAAAACATGAAATGGTTGACTTGTGCCACTCCCATCCCATAAGCAGCATTGTGGAGTAAAAGGCAGTCCACAGTCTCGAGAAAGAACAAATCTTGGTCTGTGGGTCACATACAGTACATAACTGACAAAAATCAGAATGTTGTTTCCGTTTTGGCAGCACGTACAAGATTTATTTATTATTTCCAACATTAAATATCCTGCTGCGACAATTTGGTCAGCCCTAGTAAAACGCTGTGCTTTGTACACATAATTAGTTATTCATTGGATTCAACTACGTTGCACAGGAGTACTTAAAATTCTATATAAAAATTAGCGACATTTTCCATAAAATGTACAGAATGTGATTTGTAGTAGTTATAGCTGATGGTGTTTAAAGCAGAGTGATAAAAATCATAGAATTGTAGAGTTGGAAGGGACCACTAGGGTCATCTAGTCCAACCCCCTGCAATGCAGGGAATTTTCACCAATGTGGGGTTCAAACCCACAACCCTTAGATTAAGAATCACATGCTCTACTGAATGAGCCATCCGATTTAACTCACACAGCCTAATATCACTACTGTTTTACCGTCTTGGTCACATCAACACCATACATTTAAATCACATGACTTCCCCTAGAGAATCCTGGGAACTTTAGTTCATCAAGGGTGCTGGGAATTGGAGCTCTGCAGGAGGTAAAATACAGCTTTGCGGGGGGAGCCATGTGATTTAGACGCTTTCCCAACAAGCTAAGTTTATTTTTTTTCTCCCAGTCTGCATCTGGAAATGTTTTTAAATGTTTACCATCCTGGACTCCTTTGGGAGGAAGATAGGGTATAAATTTAATAATTAAACAAATGTGTGGTGTGGATTTGACTTGAAAGAGTTACCTGTAGCCATTCTTCAACTTGCCATGGATGAATAACAATTTCTTGCATATTTTTGATTTAACTCCAAAGTTGGCTTCAGCTACAAAGTCATGCAGTGGAGAGTGTCAACTATCAGTGCATTTTTAAAGGATATAACTCACTTGGGCTTTACTTCTCAGCTATAATAATATAACCAAGGAAAGGGGGGAGGTGTTGTCCCAACACATTCCATTAAATTTTGATTGTTTTCCTTTTGAGTAAATCTTCATAAGATCAGACTGCAGTCTTTCAGAAGTGAAACACATAATTTTTTAAAATTTATTTTTAAAGGAGGGGGGTTACCTCTGAAACCAGCATAACGTTGAACAATTCAAACACCAGGCACATTTTTAAAGCTACACCAACCTTTGAATAACTGACTCTACCTGCATATCTAATGGCTGCATTGCTCATTTGGGCAATCAATGCACAATTACAGTACAACCCTCTATCTGTCCATTCAGAAGTAAGTTACACTGAGTTCAGTCAGGCTTGCTTCCAGATAACTGGGTATAGGATGGCAGCCTTAATGTGCTGCTGAGATAAAGGCAGTTGTTTAAATCATGTGAGCTCGTCACTGACCTGTGCAAAAATGCCATTGGGGTCCATTTCCTAATCAGTTTCAAAGTAAATGTTTTTGTTCATATACAATTCTACAATGCAGGCGGGAGTGCAGGTGAACAAAACAATAAAATCAACCACATTGTTGCAAATATACAGTTTACATGCTGTTCACTCTTGTATGTGGCCATATTTCCTCTTTGACCATCATTTGCTACTTGATAACCAACCTTTTGCTACATTCCTGTTTATTGATCATTATCCTTCTTTTACTTTCCTTCCCTCCCACACACACCTCTTATCCCCACCTTTCCTTACGGTCTATGGAGGCAGTAGTCTTTCACCCCTTCTCACGCTTCTGCCTTATATATCTTCCAGAGGGGTAAATGCCACTGTTAGTTTGCAATGCAACACGAAGAACAAAGAACCTCATATCATCTTAAAGACTAACACACATACAGTGGCACTTCTTCAGGTCTTATCCTCAGTTGCACGCAAATATACATCCAGATATATATGCACCTTGGGGGTGTAAGCAACGTGGTCAGAAGGAAATAAAATGCAAAAAGTACACCTAATTCCATTAGAACTTGAATGCATGCAAAACAAGCATAGTGACCCTTCCCAACAGGAATCTTGCTCTGCTCTTCTCCAGTCCCATTCTCAACTGCAGTCTCAGACCATTCATTTTTTCCCACCCTGCTATGCAACTCTGATAGTAAAGGTAAAGACTATGCTAATTTCTTTTCCTTTCTATAACCCCCCCCTTCCAGTTCTGAACATAGCTGTCAACTTTCAGATTTGAAAATAAGGGATCAGCAGCCTCACCTGTCCCAGGGACAGTCTACGGGATATCTAACAATCCGGGATAGCAGCGGGAAGCAGCGCTGGAATAAGGGAATTTCCGTCAAAAAAATGGGAGGTTGACAGCTATGGTTCTGAAAATCCAAATTTTGTGACTGGGATAACTTAAAACAGAGGCATAAATTCAGTGTCTGATTACTTGTCAATGCAATGAATTAAATACCATAACTCACTGTGGACATTCTTTCTTCTTTAGTGATTACTCATAGCTGAGTAAGATTGTCTTTCATGAACACAGTTTTAACAGTGAGTCCGTAAGTGACTGTTGAGGCCAATTCTGGATCCACACATCCTTCCACAGTGGGGACATAGGTTTCCAGGCAGGAGTCAATCACAGTGAGGGTTTGCCAAACGTGCCTTCCTCTTAGCATGTTTCTCCCTTTTGTCCTGAGTTCAAGCATCTTTTAAGCCCATTACACCTTTGGTAAAGGCTGTTTTCTAATTGGAGCACTCGCAGGCCAGTGATTCCCAGTTGTTGGTGTTTATACTACAGTGGTACCTCAGGTTACAGATGCTTCAGGTTACAGACTCCGCTAACCCATAAATAGTACCTCGGGTTAAGAACTTTGCTTCAGGATGAGAACAGAAATCGCGCTGCGGTGGCACAGCGGCAGTGGGAGGCCCCATTAGCTAAAGTGGTACTTCAGGTTAAGAACAGTTTCAGGTTAAGAATGGACCTCCAGAACGAATTAAGTTATTAACTCGAGGTACCATTGTACAGTGGTACCTTGGTTCTCAAACTTAATCCATTCCGGGAGTCTGTTTGTCTCCCGAAACCATTTGAAAACCAAGGCACAGCTTCCGATTGGCTGCAGGAGCTTCAAGCGGAAGCCGCGTCGGACATTCAGCTTCCGAAAAACATTCGCAAACCAGAACACCTACTTCCGGGTTTGCAGCATTTGGGAGCTGATTTGTTTGACATCTAAGCCGTTCAAGAACCAAGGTACCACTGTACATTATTTTAGATTTGCCTTGAGAGGGTCTTCAAACCTCTTTTGTTGACCACCAGCATTGTGCTTCCCTTTTAAAGTTTGGAATAGAGTAGTCGCTTTGGAAGACTATAATCAGGCATCCGAACAACACAACTAGTTCAACAAAGTTGATGTTGAAGAATCATCATTCTGGACATAAGCGCCGATTTACACTCAGAGCTCACTTGCTCTTGCTCTCACTCACAGCTTTCACCTGGGCCCTTTGACTCCTGAGACAAGTTGCCCTCCATTCTGTTCTGTCTTCCTTTCTCCTAAGAATAAATCATATAGGTTGCCACCATATCCCCTAAGGGACAATTCCCTTTGGAGTCACCCAACAGTGGTTAGGGAATATACACTCTCCTCTAGAACTAGGGTGTCAGGTTTCACTCTGGCACCGAGGATGTTATCAGTTCCTCAGTAGTGGGAACTCTCATTGGGGTGATGGCACACTGCAGTTGTGCTTGTTGCTTCTACAGTTCATTTATACACATAGCTGCAGTATTCCAAGTGCAACTGCTAAGCTATCTAGACCAGTAAAAAATACGGGAGGGGTACAGCATGAAAAAGGGACGTGGGTGGCGCTGTGGGTTAAACCACAGTTCACTCTTGTATGTGGCCATATTTCCTCGCTAACCATCAATTGCTACTTTCTATCCAACCTTTTAAGGGACGCAGGTGGCGCTGTGGGTTAAACCACAGAGCCTAGGCCTTGCTGATCAGAAGGTTGGCGGTTCGAATCCCCGCAATGGGGTGAGCTCCCTTTGCTCGGTCCCTGCTCCTGCCAACCTTGCATTTCGAAAGCACGTCAAAGTACAAGGAGATAAAGAGGTGGGAAGGTAAACGGCGTTTCTGTGTGCTGCTCTGGTTCGCCAGAAGCAGCTTAGTCATGCTGGCCACATGACCCGGAAGCTGTACAATAAAGCGAGATGAGCACCGCAACCCCAGAGTCGGCCACGACTGGACCTAATGGTCAGGGGTCCCTTTACCTTTACTTTACAGCATGAAAAAGCTCCCAGATTCAATCTTGGGCATCTCCAGTTAGGTCTGGGAATGCTGCTTGAAACTCTGGAGAGCCATTGCAAAGCAGTCTCAACAATACTGAGTACCACATATTTGACTTGGCATATAAGGCAATTTCCTTGGAGTGGCAGTGGCTCACTAAGAGTAGGGGTTGAGAACCTGTGACTGTCCTGAAGTTCTCAGACTGCAGCTCCCATCAGCCCCAGCCAGCATGGCCAATGGCTGCATATGATGGGAGTTGTAGTCCAACAGACCCTGGTGGTGCCACAGCTTCCCTAGTCCTGCTTTAAGAACTCGGGCATGGTTATATTTCCTCGGTTAAGCTTAGATCAGTTTGCTTTACTCTATCACCAAGCTAAGTATATGACCCCACCAGATTTAGAATGGCGGATTCAGATACAGTGGTCATTAATAAAGGCCTTAGTTTAAATAAATGTAAATGAACCAACCAAAGGCTGGAATCTTCAAGGACCCTTATCTAGTACAATTTAAATCAATGTGATTTTCTTTGAACTAAATGTGTTTGGGATTGAGATGTGAGCATGTAAGGTCAGGCAGACTCCTTGGCTACCATCCTCAAACTGCTCCATTTCAATAAACCCTATTGATTTATCTGGAGCGCGGGGCTTGAGTGCAGTGGTTACAGATTGGGACATAACATTTAATTATGAAACGGGCACATGAATAAAGAATGCTGTAGACTTTGATGGTTGTAAAGCTGTTACCCACTGCCACTTCTTGGACAGCAATTATTTTCAAAAGATTTATTAATTCTTCTTCTCTCACTTTAACAGTCCGCAAAGTGTCGGTTTTATAGCCTCGCCAAAAGTTTGAAGATGGCACAAGCCAGTGTGGGTCCCTGTTCCAATGGTTTTTAAATACCCTTTTTCCTTGCTTATATTTAATATGTGTATGTTAAAAGGTAAAGGAACCCCTGACCATTAGGTCCAGTCGTGGCCAACTCTGGGGTTGCGGCGCTCATCTCGCTTTATTGGCCGAGGGAGCCGGCGTACAGCTTCCGGGTCATGTGGCCAGCATGACTAAGCCGCTTCTGGTGAACCAGAGCAGCGCATGGAAACGCCGTTTACCTTCCCGCCGGAGCGGTACCTATTTATCTACTTGCACTTTGACGTGCTTTCGAACTGCTAGGTTGGCAGGAGCAGGGACTGAGCAACGGGAGCTCACCCCATTGCGTGGATTTGAACCACCGACCTTCTGATCGGCAAGT